AAAATATCCCATTTGGGAGTTCTTGACTTAAATATTTCTAAGTCTCATCAAAGCTACATGCTTTGATAATATTTCTGAACTTAATCCATTTGTTAAAGGGTCTGCAATCATATCTGAAAATGACAAATAACTTACAGTTATTTCATTCTTTCTAAAAATATCATAAATATAATGATAATCAATTTCAATGTGTTTACGCTTGGAACTATAAGCTCGATTTCTAATTGATGAGATAGAAGCCTGATTATCACAAAAAAATTTAACAAGTCTGTCGATTATATCCAGCTTCAAATCATTGATGAAGCATTTAATTCAGACGGCATAAGTTGTAGCAATGCTACAAATAATATACTCGGCTTCTATAGTATATCAAGCTACATAACCTTGTTTCTTGCTAGACCAAGAAACACATCCACCTCTAAAGAGGAATACAGATTTTGAGGTTGATTTTCTATTTTTTGAGTCTCTTGCAAAATCTGCATCAGAGTACCTAGTAACTTCTAAGTTGTTAGCTTGGAAGCACAACTTGTAATTTTTAGTTATCTGAACTTGTCTGAGTATCATTTTTATAGCGTGCCAATGAGCCATCCCAAGATTACTCTGAAATCTACTTACAAGACCATATGCATTACTCAAATCAGGTCTTGTATACAACATGACATAATTTATGCATCCTACAGCTTAAGCATATGTAATTCTTTATATTTAAGCTTTGTCACTATCATTTAATGGACACATTTTCTTTGACAATTTCAAGCCTTTACATGCGGCTGCATCTATGGGCTTGCAATTTTTCATCTTAAATCTCTTTAAAATACTTTCTAAATAATTTTCTTGAGATAAACATAGAAATCTCAAACTTCGATCTTTTTGTTATTTTAATGCCCAATACATACGAGGCTTCTTCCATATCTTTCATCTCAAAATGAGAACTTAGCCTTGATTTGGTATGGATGATCATATCAATATCATTACTAGCTATCAAACTAGCATCTACATAGAGTGACAATATAATAAAATTACTATCATTATTCTAGACATATACACAATGGTCTAACCTATTGGCTACATAACTAATTTCAGTGATTGTATTATGAAAAGTAATGTATCATTTCCTAAAAGACTGTTTTAGATCATACAAAGATTTTTTAAGTTATATATTATGACTTCTTGGCCTTTAATTACATATTCATCTGGTTGTTTCATTTATGTATGTTCTTTTAATTCTCCATTTAAGTAAACTGTTTTGATATCTATCTGAAATAATTCTAGATCATAATATGTAACTAATGCTAGGATGATCATAATAGATGAAAATTTTGCTACTGGAGAATAAATCTCTACATAATTTATACCCACCCTTTGGGTGAATCCTTTTGTTACCAAGCTAGCTTTATATTTATCAATAGATATATTTGCATTAAGCTTTAACCAATGACTTTTCTATCTTTAGGGAGATCAACTAACTCCCAAACTTGATTTTTTTTAATAGAATCAAGTTCATTATCCATAATTTGAGTCCACTCAACTGGGTAATATGAGCTAATAGCTTCACTGTAGCTTTGGTTCATCTATTGAATCCTCACTCATTGAAGAATAATAATATTCATTCGTAAATACATAAAATTCTTCTAAAGTCGTAGGTGGGGCCCTAGTTCTTTTAGGCTTATGTAGTATACTTGATTCAATTGAATCATTCTCACCAATTGTAGAGAGAGAGTATGAAATAAGGTCTTGGAGATCCTTATCTTTATCAATTTCATATAGGCTTACTTAAAATATTTTTATCATCTATATTTTTTAAGAAATAACCATCACTGCTGTCTACTAAGGATCTAGTCTCATGGTTGTAGAATCTATAGCCTTTAGAATTTTCTGAATAGCCTATATGATGAGAGGAACGTGCAACTCAAGATGCAAGAGGGAAAAATAAAAGATGCAGTATCTTCTGATAATGAGCAAAAGATATTGCATCATAATATTCAGTGAAAATCACAAAATTTCAATAAAATTATCAATGATAAACAAATAGAGTCTCACAGCCTATTTTGTTTTGGATGAATTACAATCAATAAGCAAGATCCAAGTAAATGATCAACAGGATTCTCAAAAAAGACGAAACAAAAATTCAAAGAAGTATGCCACTGGACTAGTTTGAGATAAATGTAAGAAAACCAGTTTCATCCCTTTATCCTTTTTACTCTTTATTATTCTGACATACCTTAGTTCTTTTATCAACTCAAACACCAAGATTTGATAATAAAGAGACAGGAGGCGGAGTTAGGAATACTAACGGGGATTACAATGGAGGGTGGATAAGTGTATGCATAAGGGTGTTGGTGTTAACGGACCATGAAAGAGAAAAAACAAAGAGAATGGAGTTAAAAAATTTCAGACTGTTAAATTTAATATTATAAAAAATTTACAACGAGATATACGAGAATAACAAAGCACAATATCAAAGTTGCTGTAAATTAAAGCTCTGGAAAAATAAATATGTGTTGATTCAATGTTGGACGTTTGATGAGAAGATATGCAAAACACCAAGCTCCCAGGATTAATAGCAGTGTCGTGAGACTAGGGATTACAGAAATCGGGCTTTACCAAAATAACTGAGAACTAAACAACAATTATATGTGTGTGCCTGTTTATGGTCATGAAAAACTTAGTTTTATAGAGATGGAGGAGGCCGTTCTCCAATGTTCAGTTTATTCTTGGAATCTCTGAGAAACGTAGCCTTCTAATCTTGGGAAGTGGGTAGTTATCATCTATCTGTTGGATAAAGGCATCTTCTCTCTCTAAGAAATATTTTAAGTGATAAATATTAACATTAAAATAAATTATAAGAGAGAAAAATATGGGACATGTGAGGCCCCATAGCCACTCACACGTACCAACAAGCCCTTGTCCCCATATAGGGTCAAGCCAGACAAAAAGTAAATGTATAAATATCAAACAAAAATAAGAAAAAATAAAAAGAAAGAGGACAGTATTGTGCCGAACAGGGCTGGCACTGGCCCTACCCCTAGCTCAGCCCTTGAGCCTTAGTTTATGGCCCAAACCCCGCTTTCTTATGCCCGGGCCAGGCCGCCCGGCCCATTGTCAACCCTAATGTAGCGTAGTATGTGGGTTGGTGGTCTCTTTATTGAAACATATGTTACATGTTCATAGTTTCCCTTGCATAATAAGTCCTGCCCTAGTTATTATTCTTGAGCCCAAGGTTAAAGCTTCATGTTTATCCATTTTTCAAAGTGATTAGTGGCTTTCCCCATATAAAGTGTCAATATATGTCCCTCCATGAGTGAACAATCTAAACATGGAGGGCAGGCCACTCTGAAAAATGATTCCAGGAAACTAGAGGTGGACTCCTTGATACATCACATTGATCTTTTCGGGGTGTAGAGGACCCCTTGCAAGATCTTAATGATATTTTTCAAAAGATCTTAATGATATTTACATGATCATTAAGGTAAACACGGTGTAGAGGTCAGTCCATCAGTCGATGTAGTGGATGCTAGACTCGTAAGTGATCTGCTTGAGGAGAGTGAGATCTGTTATCACCATGAGATGAGGTGCATTAGATGTAGTGGAAGCAGCAAAACATCGCTTCGTAATCTATCATGGAGTTGTTCATCTGTTGGTAACACCAAATTAATGGTCTGTCCACCAGACTATGGCTGAAGGGGCCCATCATCTTCTTCCTTCGAACCTTGAGTTCTAGGACCATGAGGTGGAAGCTTTTGATGTGGTGTCGGGGATCACCTTGCTCATTGAACTTGGTGCAGAAATCAGGAAGGATAAGCCCGATGGATTGAATTTGTCATTGATGACATGGTTGAAGTAGGAAACTAGGAACATATTATTTTTTGCGCTCAGCTCAAAATCCCAGTGTTCTATTTAAAATTAGCAAAAAACATGGGAAGAAATGGTTTATTGAAGAAAGAGTACCGAGGCGCATAATGGAACTGCATCATTAGTTATAATACTAGGTTCGACCCCTCCCCAGGTGGTGTGAAACACATAGAATATGTTGTTAATTTCAATAACAAATGATTGACCTTAGCATTACCACTTGCTGGCAAGCAACTTTTGTTCACAAATCACGTGGTTCGACTTTTAATAACCGATGAGGTTTTTATAAGGCGCACAACTGTGCTTTACAAGTAAGGCGCACCTCTATTTTTTTTTTTTAAAAGATATATTTCTGCCATAGGAAAAACATAATGGCATGAAATCTACATTCAGTCTTAATATGAAATTTCAAAATTAAAAAATAATAAAGATCAAAGAGATCTACAAACATTTAAAATCTTAAATGGAGAATCCAAGTAATTTGTATCAAAATGAACTGGTTTTAAGACTTAAAATTCTTTAAAACCGCTCGTTTTTACCAGATTTTTTAGTTGCACGTTACTTATGTAGTATAAAGTTATAACCTAATTAATTTTTTTGCTTTAGTAAAATGGGTTGCTTTTGTGGCTTAAATAAAACTTGTTATTTTATGTTTTTATTATTCCTTTCATGTAGCAACAACGTTTCATAATCATTTCTTAGGTGCCTACACATATTAGAAGGGCAAAGGCGCAATGAGTCATTCATGTACAAATTGGTGTGACAGTACTCAAGCCAAGGTTTGAGTTTGACGCAGCCTAAGAGGCGGCATTTCAATTGAGACTTAGATTTCGAACAAGGAAAAGAGTTTTGCAAGGAACCTCAATCATTGCTAGAAAACCAAATCCAGGCCCCTCTCTCTCTCTCAGAAACAGACCTATGTGTTCATAGTCATTAAAAGTACAGTGATTTATGTGACAAATAATGATAGAGTTAACATACAACCATTGCTAGTCAACTGCTTCCTCAATATAACGCAGCTGGGTTTCATAAACTATGAAAGCCAAAGCTATTCATATATTCCCAACTACAGAGTAATACCAGAAAGCTTTCAGAAATGAAATGGCACAGTTTTTTCTCGTAATGATAGTGTCATGTAAACTAGAAGATATTATAACTTCATCCTCAACAGAAGCCAAATTCAAAACCAAAACCAAAACAATTGTATATTACAATATTTTTCATAACAACAAACAAGAGATTCCTAAATAGTCCAATCAAAAGGTTGACATTACCACAATCCCAGAAAGTTATAGTAGCCTAGTCCAATCAAAAGTTTGCCACTTACCAGCAAAACTTGAAAGGGCTTGTTTTTGGGCCTCAACTGATTGATGCTCCCTGCACCTATCTTCCTATGGGAGACTAAGTATGGATCTAATGATGTTCAGGCCCATAGTGAGCTCGAATTCATATTCATCATCAATTACATATACATATCTTCCTATGGGAGACTAAGTATGGATCTAATGATGTTCAGGCCCATAGTGAGCTCCAATTCATATTCATCATCAATTACATATACAAAACCCTTTTCCAAACCAAATTCGACATGGAAATAAGGAAAGCTTTTTGGGATCGAACGACGCAACCCTTTGACGCTTGTATCTATAAGTTTTATCGAATTGGGCTCGCTCCATACTCCATTGAAACTCTCAATTGCCTGCAAAATAACATTAGCTTTCAGATTTCAATCACAAAAATAGCTCATCAAGTGATTTTAAAATCCAGGAATCGAAAAAACATGAAAGAACGAATTCCAAACGTTACCATTTTATCACTAATTGTATGTTTGGAGAAAGCCACTTAAGCTTAGCTTAGCTTAATTTGCAACTAATTTAAGTACACTGAAGAGCTAGAAAAATGGTTTATAAAATCAGGCTATCAATTTAGTGGCCTGAATTCTTACTTATATGAGTTCTATTGTCAAGCAAAACTTAAAGAATGCAAAATGTACATAAGATACTACTCAAGAAACCAACCTCTTTAAAATACATGGCGGCTTTAGGGGAGACATCACGTGGTATAGGTACACATTCAACCAAGCAGTGACGCCGCCGTTGTGGCATTACCATTGCAGTCACGATGAAAATCACATCCTGTCCTTGTTCAGCAAATATTCTAATGAGACATTTTTTGAAGGTACAGATTTCATTCCATGCATCATTATCAAGGTTCCGAGTCGATCCTTCATGCTGCAAATCAAGGGATAACATTAAATGATTGATGCTTTCACATCTAAGCCAAATCAAACTTCAAGATAGCAAAGAGATGGCAGACACCACTAGCAAAAAATAAAGGAAGTCATGTATACACAAGAGTCCTATGGAAAGAAATGAAAAGGTGAGAAAGGGAAAGTATGCCACAATCCATTTGACTGTGGAAACCGTTGTTCATATGGTCATCATCATCATCCAACCGTTGTTCAAAGAGTCATCACCATCCCAAGTACACTATGGATAGTGATGGAGACAATGGGACCCACCAAACAAGACAACCAAGTGGTGGATCCCAATCTCTCTCCAACACCACTCATCATTCCATGGACAAAGATAAATACCCATCGGTCGACGGCTTTATCATAGTCTGATGGATTATGGTGCACATCCCCCAAGAGATAAACATGACCAATTTACCTGCATTGGCAAAATGCAACAATGTCCGTCAACAACAGGTCGCCATGGTGGTAGCATCAAGTATGTGAAATTAGCAATGGATACGACAAGATGTTTTGGTCTATTGGGATTCTCAAAGCATAAGCGGCATCGCTCTTGTTGGGTCACTAATAGCTGCTGGAAACTGGTATTCTCTGTTAATTTTTGCCCTAATGCAGATTTTCCTTTTTGCTTTTTCTTCTTTCTTGGTGCTTGATCAAAATCATACTCATCATCTGCCTCTTCATATGTACTGAATTGTTTATTCTGAACTATTCTCTTGGCCAGATGCATGTCGGCGCCCTCCTCCCGTTTGTTTCGAGTATAAATTCCCCAGAACTTTGTCTATAAGAATGTGCAAGGAAAATTCAGTAAAGAGACATATAGGTGTACAATTTATATTGTAGAAAAGAAAAAAGACAGAGAAAATGTACAGTGTTTTGCTCATAACAATTTTTGTACTGAGAAAACCATGAACAATGAAAATTCATCATAAGAAGCATTCAGCATTTCTAATGTGAAACAAAGGTAATTCAAAAATGTCATATTTACCTAGTGGAATTACCCTGCATGACAGTTTTGTGCTCTGGATTCAATGTGGAACACATGGTCTTCTGAAACAAAATACAAATATGGGGTTCTTAGGTTAGATATAGTTGCTTAAAAAAGGATGGTATAGATATAATTGTAAAGCTATGGATGATAATGGTACATACAATCATAGAAATGTAGAAATCTGTAAAACCATCGGTGTGCACAAACATAACCTTAAAACCATCAAATAAACAGTATACAGGATCAAGAAAGTAGCTGATAAAGTGACAAGTATAACATTCCAAAAGCCTTTCTGCCTCTTCATGCCTCCCTCAATTCCTTAGCAGCCCACATGTCTGCACTCCATAGTTGATTACTAACCAAAGATTCACCACTAGTACCATCGTGCTCGTTAGAAACTATTCTAGGTTCGCTAATTTCATTTGAAGATTCACCTCTAGCACCATCATGCTCGTTAGAAACTATTCTAGGTTCACTAATTTCATTTGCCCGATTAAACCGAGCCAAGAAACTAGCATGATAGGAAAAACTACTAACACTAGAAACAGCTGCTGAGAAAACCCTAATATCTTTTTCAATGGCGGACATACTTCGCAGCTCTAGATTTGTCCATGATAAAGAATCATCACATTTTGGTGCTCTCAAATTGGGATGGCAAGAAGATACATCCCCCAAAGTTTCCTCCTCGCTTCTCTTTCATCATGGGGAACAATTCCTCCAGCATCTGTTATTCCCCTCTTTCTATCCTTGATTAGAAGTCAATGAGCCTGAGCAGGAGCAGCCTTGGTAGAAGGCGATAATGAATCCATTTGAACAGCAGAACCCCTAACCCCCTTCAATTACCTGGAAAAAAAAGGAGGAAAGTGAAATATTATTTGTAAAACATCTAATTATGTCTCACATGGCCAAGGTAACAATTCCACTTGCTAATGTGCTTACAAATCCAAACTTTCAAACGTATAGTTTAGAGAAGGAGGGAGAATATGATTTGCCCTTGTTTTTTTTTTTTTTTAATCGAGTATCAAAACAATAAAACAGCTGTTCCAATTCCAATTAGAGAACTCCCTTACAAAACAATGAGAAGTAAAAACTACGAAGGCACCGATCTTAAATTTCATAGTTTTTCACATAGATCGAAGACCGATTAATCCAAAAACCACATGAGATGAAAACTATAAATAACAAAAATTACAAATCCGAAGATGTAGGGGCATAGAACGAACAACAATGGCCTTCACAATAGAACAAGACATCAATAAAACCAAAACCCACATGTGGAGAAAACTAGAAACGAAACCTAGAAAATACAAATAACAAAAATCATAAATTAGACGATGCAGTTCAACAAACAAGCAGCAATGGCCCCCATGAATACGCATAGTCTACTGCAGAAAAAGTGACCTCTCATAGTAGAAGAAATCGCAGGCAATATCAAATTATAAAAAATAAATCACAAATAGGAAGCATTAATGAACACGAATCATCAAACAACAGCTTTGAAGAATTCTTAATAATAATAATAATAATAATAATAATAATAATGCAGGTATAGAGACTTATCTAGAGAGATGTGGAAAAAGAGAGGGGGACTTTATCTAAAGATAAACCTTTTAAAACACAATTATCGCCAAAATGAAAAGTGCTCTAATTCTATCTATACTATACTTACTATACTTACTACATTATTAAACAAGAATTAAAGGATGGACATGTATCACAAAAATAGGAAGGGACCCATAATAATAATAATAATAATAATAATAATAATAATAATAATAATAATAATGCAGGTATAGAGAGTTATCTAGAGAGATGTGGAAAGAGTGAGGGGGACTTTATCTAAAGATAAACCTTTTAAAACACAATTATCGCCAAAATGAAAAGGGCTCTAATTCTATCTATACTATAATTACTATACTTACTACATTATTAAACAAGAATTAAAGGATGGACATGTATCACAAAAATAAGAAGGGACCCTAATGACACATTCTTTATATTTAAGGAAGAGAAATACTAAAATTTTGTGCCTGTGGAATAGAGATTTTAAAAAGAGAGAGAGAGAGAAAGTAGAGATTCTAATAAAACAGAAATATTGTTTCCCTATCTTAATGAGAAATATGAGAAATATTTTATCCAAACTATTACCTAAAATTTATGCATGAAGAGTAGAGAAAAGAGGATCTCGATATATTTCTAATATTTTATGTATGAAGAGTATATAAGAGAGAAAAAGTAGAGTGAGCATGAGGTAAAAGGGCAGACACATGGTAAAAATAAGAATAGACCCTAATGTTATAGAGATTGTATGACATATTCACCTTGAAGAGAGAGACTAAAATTCTGTAAGCATAAAGTAGAGATTTTAAGAAGAGAGAAAGTAGAAATTTTAAGAATAGAAAAATATCGTTTCTATTTCTTATTGAGAAATAGGAGAATTTTTTTTATCTAAAGAGGACATCTATCTTTTTCTACTATTTTATGCGTGAAGGATATATATTTTGGAAAAAGAGATAAAAAGTAGAAATTTTAGGAAAAAAAAGACATTGTTCTAATATCTTAATTTGAGAAATAAAAAATTTTTCTCCTATATTTTGGTTCAAACTTCCTAAAATTGGTACTTATCACAAACTAAAATTCGAGAGAGAAAGATATGAAGATATATATACTATCCATACATTTCTAAGATGGTTTCCATATCTAAAAAGATTATCCTTTCAACCATGATAGTATCTCTCCATGGAAGCATGCCCTACTTTTCTCTTCTTTTTTTCTATTTTTTTGGTTCAAACTTCTCACCTGTCCCCAACTAAAATTCAAGAGAGAAACCTTTACTACATTATTAAGTAAAAGTTAAGGAGTGGAAACGTGGCGAAATAAAAAAAAGATCCTAACTCTATAGAGGTTGTAGGAGACATTCTCATCTTTTAAAAAAAAGAGAAAAATAGGGGGAGTACACATATTTTTGAAGAGAGAAATTAGCCTCATTCTTTTTTAAGAGAAAGAAATAGCAAAAACAGCCATCTTTTTTAAAAGAAAAAGAAATATGGAGTATCCATCTTTTTTAAGAGAGAGTACTTCATCAATAATCCCAAAAGTAGTGTGTGGTACTTCATCAATGATCATATCTCCTAAAAAAATACATAAAAATTGAAAGATTTTAGAAAATAAGAATAGAGAAAAATATTAGGAGAGGCTCACGTGGGGGAAGAGGGGGTGAGAGAGAACTCCTAATAGTAGTGTGTGGTACTTTCTTCAATGTCGAGAGAGATTTTAGATACAGTGGAATTGAGAGATTTTAAGAAACGAGGGTAGAGAGATATTTTAAGAGAGGCTCTCATGGAGGGAGGGAAGAGGGGGCATGGGAGAAAGAGAAAAGCCTGATACATCACAAAACTTCTAGAAATTATCACTTTTGAAAAAGATAAATTTTAAACTTAAAAAATTATATTTATAATATAAAAACAAATATAGGGATGGAGAGATTTAAGGTGATAAGGGTGAAAAGAAAGAGATCTCACGTATGGGAAAAGAGAGAGATACATAAATCTTACAATTTTGAAATTGTCCATAATATAAAAGATATATGAGAATTGATAGATGTTAGGAGATGAGGGCAAAGATATTTTAGAACATATGGAGCACGGGGGAGAGAAGGAGAACGATGTTGGAAATTGGTAAAGGATTGGGTGAATTGGGGGTAAAATTTTGGGCACGCAGTAGTGCTATCTCAATATAATATTTATGGATGAAAGAAATGAAACTGCCACAACTTTTTTGAAGGTCATGAATTACAACTTTGTTCGACTCGACCACTTAAACAGGTTGAATTTCAAAATATGATAGCAACATATTATCTTTTTGCTTATCACTCTCAAAGTGCCTTACATAGTCACCAAATCAATGCCTACACCGCGGCCATCATAGGATGACTCCACCAACGAACCAACTCAATCATACAAGAGATGGATAGAGGATCACTATATATGGAAGGATTATATCCTAAATGCTTTCAATGCCTACACCGCGGCCACCATAGGATGACTCCACCAACTCAATCATACAAGAGATGGACGGAGGATGACTATATATGGAAGGGTTATATCCTAAATGCTTTGGCGGGCCTGATCTATAACATGTATGGCTCCATTGGCACGCAAGAGAGCTATGGAAACTACTTACGACCAAATACCTTACGGATGAATCTGGTAACAACAGAGTTTTGATTTCTAACTTCTTAAGTTTTAAATTCATTGAAAACAAGCCTATACTCTATCAAGTATATAAATTGCAGCTTGTGGTCAGTGAACTTAAATATTGTGGTATTTCTTTGAATGAATATTTCTTAGTAGGCTCAATAATTCATAAGTTACCCCATCTTGGGGAGAGTACCAAAAGAAGATGAAACACAAGAAAGATGACTTGATTTGGTTCAACTTCAAAGATCTCTTCAAACTGGAGAAGATAATAGATTTAAGGAAAAGAAAGATAAAGCAATTAATTTTCACTCTAAGCCAAACCTTATTGTGCAAAAATCAAGTGCTCCATATAACAAGAATCATTTCTTTTCTAAGGTCTATAATAAAAATTATAAAGACCAAAAGTCTATTGCCAACAATAATAAATAAAAAAAGCGACTTATTATGTATGTGGAAAACCAGGACATTATTCAAGGCGTAGGTGGAAACTGCGAGGGGATGATGGAATGGATAGGAATTGGGGTGTTAAGGGTGGATGGAGTGATTGAAAGATGAGGGCAGATGGGAGGCTAGCCAAGTACTATCAATTGTACAAATAGTATAAAAATAAATTCATTGGTCATCATATGGCAATAAGCACCAGAAAGCTAAACAATTATATTTGAAAAAATAAATGTAGATGCATTGGATAATCAGGATTGTGAGAGAAACGACTCAAGTTGTTATACCGTAAGAGCCACTTTAGATTTATCCATTGGTAAAAAAGGGAGGGGAGCTATTGTGCCATTTTATTTTATTTTGTCGGAAACTTCGGCCCATTTTTTTATGACGGTAGAAACACCCTTCTACATTAAATAGAATCAGAGCTTAGATCCACGAACGAGATCCAAGACAGATCAATAACCTTAATGCTTTTGGATGGTGCAAATCGGAGCTTAAATCAATAAAATCCAAAACATATCCATAAGCCTTAGAAGGCAAGAAAAGGGCATGCTCGAGCAATACAAATCAATAGACTTAAGCAATGGACAATAACTTGAGATCTTTTTTTAGAAAGAGAGATAAAAATGCTAGGGACGGCTGAAAGAATAGAAATGGGCTTGAAAGAGTGACACAACTGGTTTTGGATGGTACATATCCAAAATCAATTCAACAAGTCAATCATAAACCGCTCGCAATCAAGAACATACATGATTGAGCATTAGCAGATTCGAGCAGATAGAAACAAGGTGATAATGATCCAGGGCTCTAAAACCATACAGAATAAGAAGAAATTTTATTTATTCAACTTGCGGGACAAAATCTCATATATATGTATACAGAGGTAGTTACATTATACAGCTTGGGTAATATACAAAAAAATAAAAGAAAGAAAATATCCTAATATCGCTTGCATGATCAAGAAAAGATCATCCTACCTAGTACAATTTGTGTGATATGTAGAATAAAGAAAAGATACACAATTCGCAAGCACAAGGTTTTCCAATGCTGAAATTGTATTTTTCAGTGGGATTTAAAATTGCGGCTTTACCAAATTTTGTAAAGCCAAGGCCTTACTAAAACAGCACCTATCAAGTGCATGGACAATGATGCTGAAATTGTAGGGATTTTAAATTGCGGCTTTACCAAATTTCGTAAAGCCAAGGCCTTACTAAACAGCACGTATCATCTCACTCATGCATATGTGAAAGATAAATTTACAAATACATTATTGTTGTCCTATTCCATAGTATGATGCTAAGCCATGATCATGAGTGATATTGTGCCAAAAATTAGAAGATTGTATTGTATTAGGCCTGGTGGGAATGAACGCTAAAGCACCAGGTTCAAGGTTCGAATTCACACGCTTACCTGTAACATTAAATTTCCACCTCAAAACACCACATTCAATCTTCATAAAAGCGTGCTCTTTGTGGCTAAGAATATATGTGGTTCTCTTATCTAGTGTTCCTTCTAGAGATGTCATGTCATCATAACATGTTTTTAGGTAAAAAAAAAGAAAAAAAAAAAAACCTCATACGACTTCATCAATCTAGTATAGAAAAGGACATGCATCAACTTAATGTCCCAAGTTTGTTTAGGCCTTTGGAAAGAATTTGGTCATGACCTCAAGATGTATGTACGAGGAAAAGAAAGCGATTTTAAGTCCTAGAACTAGTTCATCATATGCACATTATCTGGACCATCCATGTTAAAAAAAATTGAGTGTTTATAAATATCTTGGATACACCATTTTTGGATCTTTAGATTTCATAATGAGGTGTGAAAATCAATTTTTAGGCTATTGTTTTTCTGGTACCCGGTGCGCCTTTGCTTGATATTTAAGGCCGACACCTTCTACAAACAACACTACCCTTTTAAAATGCTTCTAGTTTTATATTACATTATTTTCAAAAAAAGGCCCCTACCCTCAATTTTATGTTGAAAGAAGCATAATAGCATCATCATCATCAGAGCCTTATCTCAATCATTTAGGATCGGCACATTATCGTTCTACATAATAACATAATAACATAATAGCATGTTAATACTAATTTTTTAAAATATGTTTTCATTTCTAATTATAAAATGGTACGGTTTGTATAGAGACTAGGTTCTAAACAATCAAATTAGAGCCTACTTTCAAATAGTATCGAGAAATGTGGTTTCAATACTAAAAATCTTTGTGATAGCCTTAAAATACATTTTTATTTTTATTTATAAAGTTTAAAGCTTTAAAAATAGTGTAGATCGACAGATCTATGAAAACTTGAAAATTTTTAAAATTCGTGATCCAAAAATGCAATACAAAATACACTATTTTCAAAACTTGAAATCCATTTTTTTCTCATGTCCATATAACTTGATGTCGAGAAGATCAATTTGAAGATATTTGAGCATCAAAACAACATCTTCTAATGAAATTTTTTGAGGTAGGCTCCATATAACTTGATGTCGAGAAGATCAATTTGAAGATATTTGAGCATCAAAACAACATCTTCTAATGAAATTTTTGAGGTAGGCTCTAATTTAATTGTATAGAGCCTTGGTTCTATATATACTTTTCCCATTATAATATATAAAGCTTCAAAAATAATGTAGATAGAGCAGATATATAAAAACATTAAAATGTTGAAAAATGACGGTCCAAAAATGCGTTACAAGATACACTATTTTCAAAACCTGGAATCCATTTTTTTTTCATATCCATGCATCTTGAGGTCGAGATGATCAATTTGAGTATATTTGGGCATCAAAACAACCTCTTCTAGTGAAATTTTTGATGTGTGCCCTAATTTGATTGTTAGAGCCTCGCACTTGCACAAACTTTTTCCTTAATAAACTCCCCATAAATTACCCCAAAAAGGCCCTTCCCTCATGTATGTCTGTAAAGGAGAAGGAGAGTTCCTTTCTAACTCAATCATGAATTTAAGTGACTTTTAGATCATACAAGTAAATTTCTAGGTGAGGGACAGATCTGACTCCAATAAAACCAAATAAATAGTGATTTTTTCTCATTTTTAGCATTGACATTCTCCAAATTGGATAGTAAATATTAGTTCATTCCAATCTCTTTTTAACCTCCTGCATGTCCATAAGAAGTGAAAAAATTACTGCATCTTGCCTTCAAAACAGATTATCTGATCGTCTGCTTTTGTTTTATCTTGTGGATTTTCACAAAAACTTATATAACATACAAAACATATGGACCCTACAAAGATCTCGATCCAGTCTTCTAAACAAAGCATTTGATGTAACAAACAAAACTGAAAACAGAAGAGGGAAAGAGAAAAACTGAAAACAGAAGAGGGAAAGAGAAAAACTGAAAACAGAAGAGGGAAATACATTTATTCTATGCCTCTAGCTCAGATAGAGAGACCGATGCAGGCGGATCGCCGCGCCTCGTTCATATCCCTAACTCCTGTTGCACCTCCCACAGCTTCTTTGCAGACGCTCTGAGCCGTTTGGTCTCCTCCTCTGTAAGCTCCACATTCACCACTCCAATCACCCCGTTCCTCCCCAGTTGTGCCGGCAAGCTCAAAAACACTTCCTCTTCAATCCCATGGAATCCCTTGGCCACCACGCTCACCGGCTGTATCTTCCTCTGGTCCCTCAGGAGTGTCCCTGCTAAGCTCCCCACCGAGTACCCAATCGCCCACGACGTGTACCCCTTCAGTGCGATCACTTCATACGCGCTCTTCACAACACGCTCGCGCATCTCTTCAAGAACCGCATCCTCGCCCTTCACCAACCCCACGATCCCAACCCCGCCGACACTGACGCTCGACCACAGAGCCACCTGTTGTTTACAAAATGCAGCATTTTAAGCCCTATTTCCAGAGAAGAGAAATCCAATCCAACTGTAGTGTTAACTGCATGTTATTGGATACTGCAGAAACCACTTTGAATCCAATTGCAAGTTTAAACTGCTCAAATTCACTGTGTGTACAAACCTCAACATTCCTCCATCAATGATTGGCACAGATGTCTTAGCAAGACAAAAATGACATGGATCGAAATTAAATGTTTTACTAACTCAAAATGCTTTCTAGAACCAAATTTAGTTATAACAAAATGAAATGAAACGAAATGCTAGAAGAGGATATGAATTTTGGATTTGGGAAATTAGACAACATTCCAATAAAATTCCAATAAATTAAGTAAAGCATACTCATCAGATCATTGATAAGCCATGATAACCATTGTTAATTTACGTGTTCATCAGATCATGACAGTAAATTCACACCACAGTGGGGGGGGGGAGGAGGGGAATTGAGAACTCACAGAGCTGTCGCCGTGCTCGCCGACCATGTACGCCTGCACATCGTGGGCGTTCACCCTCAGATGCTCCGCAATCATAAACCTGAACCTGGAAGAGTCGAGGTTGGTCCCCGATCCGATCACCCTATTCGCCGGGAACCCTGACAGCCTATACGTGACATATGTCAGCACATCGACCGGGTTCGAAACCACGAGTATGGTCGAGTTCGGGGCTGCGCGAGCAAGCCGAGGCACGATCGCAGATAAAATCTGAACATTTCGTTTCAACAAGTCGAGCCTGGACTCCTCGGGCCTCTGGCGGGCCCCGGCGGTGATGATGCAGAGGTCGGAGTATGCGGCAGAGGACACATCAGTAGAGGACTTGATTGTCGTTCGGGGGAGAAAGGCCGCGGCATGCTGCAGGTCGAGGACCTCTCCGCGGAGCTTGTCGGCCTGGGCGTCGATGAGGGCGAGCTCGTCAGCCAGGTGCTGGGAGAGGATGGCGTGCACGATGGCCATACCGACGTTGCCCACCCCAACGACCGTGACCTTGGTGTGGCGCTTTGTCGGCGATGGTGGCTCCGTGTCATGAATTGGGTTCAGGAGAAGAGCATGAGCGGCGTCGAGCCCGTTCTTGACTGGTGGCAGAGAGGCGGAGGCGGCGGCCATTGGAGCAGGATTGCAGTCGCTGTTCTTCGTATGTTTGGGTTGCAAGTTTCACTGGATATTTTTGTTGGGGGCTGGGGTCATTTTATAGCGGAAGGGAAAAGCGTTGTTTCCACTTCCCAGTTTCCACATTTGAAAAGTATGGAATGGTGTGAAACCGAAAGGAGTACCGTACGCACAGGGCCACTAGTTTTGGAACCGAACCACGGTTTTTTAATTGAAACCAGTGTCATAAGTGGGCCGGTTTAGTCATATGTTAGTGTCGGATTGGATTAGAAAGCTAATATAAAAATATATTTAAAATTAAATAAAATAAAAATAAAAATTTAAAAGGACAGATCTAAAAGAGACTTAATAAAATAATAAAAATTTAAAAGGACAGATCTAAAAGAGACTTAATAAAATATTTAATATACATAATATATATATATATATATATATAAGTCTTTCCAACGTCCATAGACGAAAATAAATACTGATTTCGCCTACCCTCATCATCATCCAAATTTTATTGCGTGGTCACTGCTATATATAAGTCTTTCCAACGTCCATAGACGAAAATAAATAGTGATTTCGCCTACCCTCATCATCATCCAAATTTTATTGCGTGGTCACTGCTGTCTGGTAGTGTTTTATTTTTCATTTTTTTTCTACAAATCGGAATGACCTGAAATTTGAAAGGTATTTACATCTTACTGAGGTACATCTAATAAAAATATAAAAAAAATTATCTGTAAAAAATAAATTGAACAAAATACCCTCAAAAAATTTCGAGAGTATTTTTTTCATGTAAAATATTTTTTATATAATTTTCAAAGATTTCCCTATTTTTGATGAATACACGCTCCAAAATTTAGATCAGTTCAATTTGTAGAAAAAATTTGGAAA